GGAATTTTCCCAGATTATCCCCATAGGTGAATGCCCAGCATGCAAGGGATATTTACTACACCTGCTGAAGTCGACCCCAAGTATCACAGCGAGAGGTAGCACATGGGCTCAGAGCCTTACCCCAGGGCTGCCTCAGACAGGACTTGCACAGCTTATGCAGCTCTATGGAGCTGCCCTTCTCAGAGCACCATGCTATCGGGGTGCATAGTGTGAGTGAGTGCTGCTGGGTGAGCACAGCCAAAGTGCCAATGCCTCTCTAAGCTAAATATACTGCGCTCCTTTTTGACCGGGATAAAATGAACAAATTGCACAAAGGAGAATTCTTCTGAGAAGCGTGACACCATATTTCCTGCATCTGTCTGCTGTTTCTAAACTGATAAGAAATACTATATCTTTAGGCTCTAGACTACCATTAATTAGGTGGCGGTGTGTGGTGTGCATACATAGGAGGCTCTCAGAGAACAGCAGCGAGGACCAGCATAGCGTAAAGCCCGCTGAAGGAGGTTAAATGACAGTAGGATCCTCTGTACATCTATTTACCTTTATATATATATATATATATATATATATATAAAACCTTAAATACTTTGCCAGACAAATATTTTGGAGGAAATATGCAAACATATGCCTTGGGAGAAAATTTTGTGAGCACTTGGCATTCATCTGCTTGGGCACCCAGTGAAGTCTGCAGGAGCTCGCTTGCTCAGAGCACCTGCATTAGGTGCTTTGAAATCCAATTTCTTGGATATATTTCATAAAGTAAACTCTAAATTCTGAGCTAAAGAGGACCTGAAAACGCAGAGGAATGCTGTACAATGATTTGTTTTTGAGATGTGTTAAATCAGGCTGAGCAGAATCTGCATCTATAACACCACATTAACAAAAGTAACTATTGCTATTTTGCTAAGGCTGTCTATAGACTGTTAAAGCATGAAAGTCCTATAATTTCATAAAAATCCCAACTATTCGAATTTCCATAGAGTAATGCTTTTGTATCTAATTTAAAATGGGTAACAAGCTTACCCTATGCATACAACAGATCATTAACTTGATAAGATACTAGTAGCATATTAAGTGACTGTTGTGTTGTGCTAGCAAAACAAATACAGCAAAGAAACTTGCTAATGCAAAGGACTTTTTATGTCAATAGGAGTGGGTCATCTTTTGGTATTCAAATAATTCAAAACTGAATTCCATCGCTGAATGCTCCAGCTACATTTCTCCCACATTCTAATTGAAAGCAAAAGCGCAGGATGGAAAATGGTCCATATGAATGTGAAAGGCTTGGATCAGATTATTATAAAGTTTTTATTAATTTATTTATCTACCTATTCATTTATTTATTTATTTGGCTGGGGGGGGTACAATTCTTGGAGACATTACTCTTTCTAGTTTTACCTCTTCTTCTGTATTTCCAGCCCTGCCAATTCTTAGTGCGAACAACTGGTCTCATATTTATCCAGGCTGTGTTTCACATTTGGTGGAGCCTGTTTGCAGCTGCCTCTCTTTCAATATTTGTCTAAATAAAAGCATATTTTAAACCTATGAAGCCACTATCAGTAACACACATATTAATTTTAATTACAAAAAGGTCCAAACTTTCTCTCTAATTTCATATTAAAGCGCTCTTTAAAATTCTATCGCACTGGAGAGGGAAAAACATTAACCAAAAATATTTACACATGGGGAGTTTCTTAAAGAATGAATTATAATCATCTCAGAAAAAGGGCCTAAAGGGGGAACGAAACGTACAGGGAGAGCTGAGGTTGGCAATGTGGGAAGTACATACGCACAGGCAAACCTACCCATCCCTATGCTCTGCTCGCACATCGCTGCGTTGGCAACGCTCGCAGCCCTTCCCCGCACGGCCAGGCCCCAGAATTCGGCTCTTTGTCTTTATTCAGCACAGTGTCAGACCCCTACGAGGCACGTGGGTGCTGGAGGTGTGCGGGAGGCAGAGCTGCCCGCAGGTGTGCGCCGTCTCCTTGGGCCCCTTTGCTTTGGGATTAGCCCTTCCGCACCACACAACGCTCCCTGCAAAGCACTGCTGCCTGATCGGGGCAGCTGCTCCTATCTAGCGAGACAAAATTCCCCATTTATTTCCTTTGATATCTGTATTTAAGAGACTAATTTATATTAGCACCAGAAAATTCCTCAAAAAAGATGACAGGGGAGACAGTGACCAGAGCCGCGTTGCTCGCCGACTTCTGTGTTTTTTTTTTAATTCTGTCAGTTGGATATTGACTGACTTTCTAATGCACACTCCTCTAATTCTTAATTAGAATGACATAGCTAATTAATAAGTTTTTTCCAATTATAAATTAACTTAGGATCAGAACTCTGGCTTTGCATGTAATTTCCTATAATCGCTAAAGCTACTGCAAAAACATGTCTCCTACCAACCGTAACTTTTTTATTTAACACAGACAGACAAGTTCTCACTGGGTTTAAATTTTACAGCAAATTATCTCTGTTGGGATTTATGAAGAGAAATTAAAAAAAAAAAAATCAGAAGAGTTTTCTCTTCTCTTTCTCCTTTTTTTTTTTTGAACGGTCCTTTCTTTCTTAAACAAAATAGCATCTCTTAATGGACAATTTCTTTCTGAGATTTAAAAGGAATTCATCTTAATATTTTAATGTTATTACAGGGAAGGAAGAAAGAGAGCAGGTGATAATTCGTTTTTTCATAACTGTTACCACCTTTTCATGGTTTCTGCAAAAATGATTTGGGAGGATCCCGCATGCTGCTCATTTATAGAATCTTAACTGGAGAGACACTTATCTCTTTAGTAATGAACCAGTGTAATTAAAGGTGGGAATGTGGAAGAGTTCAGGCACTGGCAACATGTCACATAGTTGGCTGCTGCAATTCCTCAGTGGTTTATCAAAGACTACTCCTTTAATATGGAGATTACACTTATGTACTTGTCTGAACTTGAAAGGCATTTGCCTAATTTACTTATTAATGAGATGTAAATCTATTTGTACGGCACGTCACAAGTTTCCTGAAATCGCTGCTACTTAACCGGTGATAAACCCTATGATTTAAACGAAAAATAATACATTTAGCTTTCCACATTCATTCTGTTAAAAATTGATATAGTCTATGTTAAATTTATTAATATTGCTTGCTGTCATTCAGTTTGCAGCTCTTACTGAAATATGACTTGACAGCGGCCGCATTAAAGATGTATGCCATTGTATTCAACAAAGATTAATGAAGCCTGGTAAAAATAGCTGTAAAAGAGAAAGTGATCCGAATGTAAAATCAGTGAATTAAATGAGGCCTTGCATACCATTTGTTAATATGCATGAGGAGGGAGGCAGCGAATGAAAATGTCTCCCTGCAAAGTTCATTTGGGAATGTTTCAATATTGTCTGAATATCACCAAACTATTGAACAGCAGCTTAATAGAGCCCTGTGTAACCGAGGTCCGTGTGCTGGTGCCCTGAGAAAATCTGCGCACAAAACCTGATTCGCTTGCAAGCAGAGGGGAAGCCTGGAGTAAAAATAATAATAATCTGACTGGAATAATATAAATACATACAGGATAGATGTCTCTTCTCCTCCTTCTTCCCCCCACTCCACCTCTGTCTGTCTACGGCTTTCAATATTAAAGCCACTTGTGATAGAGAGCTTTAATGCTATATGCCTCTTTTTATGGAAGAATTGCACATGGCAACACTTAAAAGGCTTAGATCCCGTGGATTTCCGAGGGGTTAACGTGTCTGTCTGTCTGGGTGTCACAGCTTTTCGCACCCCGGGATCCATATAGGCAAAGACTTTACCCACTTCTTTGAATATATATATATATATATATATATTTCAGGGAATGATTTATTTCAGCAGCCCTCATTATAAAATGCTACTGAATTCATAACGGACAGGTTAAGACTTTCAGATAAATTAGCGCTGACAGAAAATGGTATGCAGTAATCACAACATAAACACGGCGTATTTATCAATCAGGGCAGTGAGGTGTTTGGATGGGCTTGTTTCCAGGTTGTAACGTCAAAGATCTGCAGAAAAGACTGCTCTGAAAGATTTTGCTTTGGCAAATTTAAAACATATATTAATCTGGCTGCCCCTTTGGTAGTAAAGTAGTTAATGCACCCGAAAGCCTGTCAGCTTGGAGGCAATTTGGAGGTATAATGCATACACGCGTGGTGTAAGAGCTTGTAGAAAGCTCTGCCTAAAGCATAAACTTTCCCAAAAGAATGAACATCCATGTTCAAACTCAAAGTCATTTAGAGGGATTTTTGTTCCCAGAGCTGATGCTCAGCTGATGCTCAGCTCACATCTCCTGATTCGTGCAGCCTCAACAGGTAGGGTGACGCAGGGAACACTGTCACCACGTGCAGGATCTGATCTGTCCCGTTTGTTTTGTCCCAGAATAGTGAAGCAAGTGGCAAACAGACTGGCTAGCTTAACAGATGACAGCTCTTACTGAAACGTGGCATTTTTCCAGATCATTTGAAGGAAGAATTTATCATTACTTTTTTTTTAATTAGATACATTGGTGTACGAAGTAAAAAAATAAAAAATAAAAAAAATAAAGTGATCAAATAAATATACCTATAAACAAACCCTCACCCATTTGCTCTTCTGTTCTGCTGTTTCTTATAAACGGTAAGGTTTGGCCCAAGTAGTCCTGGTCTCCATAGTTTTTGTGTTACTTACAATGCAAAGTCAAACAGAAAGAGATGCAGGCCTGTATGTTGGGATTTTTAGGTTTTGTTTATGCTCTCCATTAAAAATATTAATTTTTCTGATTAAAAATTTCATGTCTTTCTCCCATTGGGTGATCGCCAAATTAGTGGAAACATATTTAATTTGCTTAAAAAAATAATAAAAACAACAAACTTTCAGATGATGCTGGAAAGAGCCCACAGAACATAAAGACCACTGAGTCAGGCTGAAGGATAATAGAATAAAAATGTCCTATGTGTACAGCATGAAACAGTAAACTATATCAGAAATCTTTTTGTTTTCAATCCAGATGTCCCTCAAATTTCATTTTCGAGGAAACTCCTGATATCTACGGAATATCTGCTTCTGCATCTGCTTAATTAAGAACATTTGTCTAGCTGCAAGACTCAGTTCATCAAGAACAGGCATTAAAAAAAGAAACAGCAAGAACCCAATGGGGGAAGAAACGAAGAGCCTGCCTTTTGGGTTCCCAGCTCTCCCTGAAATAACTAATTAAAGCCATTCATAAGGCAACCTGCACTAATGGCTAGACACAGGCTACTCTTGCTCGGCGTTGGCTGCAGCATGTACACCCTGTGGAACAACTTATTTACTTCTCTAGTCTCTTTCTCCTCCATGTAAGATAAGGCTAAAAGAAGGCAAGGCCGCGTGTAACGAAGTAGAGCTATCAGTAAGGAGGTGCTCCTCTTTTAATGGCATCTCAGTTGTATACAGCCCATGTGAAATCTTTCTCTTTGCCATCCCCATGGTCCTGTTGGATCCCCTCTCATGAGACCAGCATCCAGCAACCAGCAGAGAGGCAAAACTTTGACTCTTCCTTCTTTCTTAATGGAATTTCTTAATGGACATTTTCTTGCTTGTCTAGGATTATGAGTTAATTCCCAGACAAAGGGAAATGAATGACAAATACTGCATATTGACTTGAGATTGGCACTACTGGTCAGAGAGAAGAGCACACCCCAGTTTTCTCTTGCAAGCAGCTAACACATAAGGGAAAGCTTTCCAGTAGCAATACCATGGCAAGCAAACACTTCCACCTTCTTCTTCAGCAGGTCACATAACAACTGATTGCACTGAGATGGAGGACAAAACTCCACAAAGCAGGAGAAGAGAGGAAGAATTGGAAAGGTTGGAAAAAAAGTTAACGCTCAAAGTCTCTCTTCCATTAGAACCTCTTGGTTTCTGCACAGAGCACCAGAAGCCACCACCAGCCACAACCTTGCTGTCACCACAGAGCTTCTCTCCTGTGTTGGAAAACATTTCAAAAAGTGCTGGAGGTGGAGGCAACACCCAATTCTGCAATATATGGGATAACTACATTTTGTTATTGGTGAGCAATTTTGTATGCTTGCAAATCGATGGCAAAGGCAAACGTCACGCTTTGTGTTGCTTTTGGTTCTGTCAGTGGGGATTTACATCCCAGCTCTGTGTTGGTGATCCTGGCTGTGCCCCCTTGACTTGTGCAGCCATGCAAACATCACAGCCGCCCCACAGCTCTCCCTTTATTTTGTTGCAGAAATGTCATTAATTGTAAACCTGCACACTGTTTGGCAGCGAGCATTTGCCACAGGTTTGTTTACAAGTCAGTTTAACAGTAGAGATTGCACACATTAAAAAAAAAAAAAAAAAAAAAAAAAGCCTTTTAGTAGAAATGTTAGTCCCTCGGGTGGAAAATAACCCCTAAATTCCTCTACTAAAATTTTAATTTTCAAAAATGTTCCACATTTACTATAAATAGCTGTCATCTGTCAAATAAACGGAGCAAGTCCAGGAAGCCTCCCTGTCAAAGGAGACCGTTTCGGAGGCAGCCTTTGTCTTAAATGAGTCTGTAGACATGGCTTGTGTTGGTTTTTGAGTAATCCCAGCCTGTTTATAATCTCATCTATTTCATGGAGAGGATATGAAAATAGCTCCCCACTGTATGAAAATTATCTATATTCCAGTGCAGACGATATAGTCGGTCTATTGAAAATAATGGAGTGAACCCAGCTACGCAGTTTATTTCAATGTGTAAAGTCTTTGCACATCATAATATCAAATAAACTCCATTGAAAACACCATCCTCATATAATTGTATTATACAAGAGTAGTGTCACCTTTTGTTTAGAACAGTACCATTACGCTTTTATGATATACTTTAAGGAGAACTAGATGGTACCACTGATTCTTGTACTAGCATTTTAGATCAAAAGACCTATGTCTGCAGCCCAGGTCACTGAAATCACAAATGAAGTGAATTTAATGGTCTAAGTTTGGTCTCCGGAGGACAACAGAATAGTTAGTACCATCATAAAGTCTGACAATGTAGCCTTTTGGCAGGTTTTTGTTGATAATAGGCTTGAACTGCAATCTTTTCACCATGGTATAAGTGGATCTGTTAAAGCAGGCTTCAGATACGGTGGAAGAATAAAGTAGGGAAGGCTGCAAAGCGCAATATTGTGCACACCTGCACCGTACCTAGAGTAAGGTTAATGCAGTAATATCTGTGTGAAAACTGCCTCACCCCCACATTAAAAGCAGCTTATCATTAGGGATTACCTAGCCACTGCACCAGCTGCAAGTCTTTACTTAAAGACTTAAAGGTAAAGCTCTTACAGTTCCCAATCCAGTGACATTTGCAGCTCACTATAATTTATTGAATATCTTCCAAAGAGCAAACACAGGATTTCTCTTGGTACTGTTTTAGTTGGGTTGTAAACGCTTGCCATTTACCAAGAGAAAAAAAAAAAAATAAAGGCAGGCACATTTACACTTTTGCAAAGCATCATGTAATATTTTGAACCTGTCTTTTCATGCTGACTCTTTTCATGTTCAATCTAAACGCTGTTTACTCATTTAAAGTCTTGTTATAGCTCAGCTATGAAGTACAGTGCACACACACTTTCAAAGCTTTCGTGAGAGCACCTCGTTCCCAGGTTTCATTAGGAAGACCCATGCTTGTCTGAAGAAAGTGTGAATTTTTTAAACTTCCTATAGCAGACATTCAGCACTGTTCACCCTTCAGCACTTCATAGTCCTGCTACTGAGACCTTTAGAGACTTAATACAGATAGGAATCTCGAGAAGAGAATTTCTTGTCGTTACCTCCATTTATAAGGCATGCTGATCTATTGATGAAAATCAAAAGGAAACAGTTAAATAAGTCAAATTACATACTGGGGGATGAAACATTTTCCTCGCCTTGCCAGTAACATGCATGCAAATTATATTAATAGGCTATAATTATGTAAACTTTATTATGTGTGTTAAAGATAACATTAAAATTATAAGATAAATGACACTTAATCACCAATGGAGGGTAATGATAAAAGAGTCAGCAAAATTAACAGGCATCATCAAGAATGTTGTTGTTGTTAAAGCTAAAGGAGTACAATGAGCCATACCATTACATGTGATAACTTACTGCTAGCTCCAAGCTGCTGGACAAACATTAACTAACTGTTATACGTATGAGTATTCGGGTCCTGTTTGCTAAATATGCTCCCTGACTGCATACATACACATGCTGAAAACAGCCCTTGAGATGGACCCTGGGACAGTCTTCATCCATCTTTCCTCCCCCAGACTGCTCTAGCAGACTGAATTTACCAGGTAAGAGGGTAATGTGGTACCCTACTGAATGCAGAAGTAGGAGGCAATTAGTGCAGCGGTCCGACCGCTTGGATGCATGGCCCCTTTAGAGGCATTTCAGGGGCTAAATCATATCCAGCACAGAACCAGGGCACATTTTCACACACGTGTTGACTTTCATGAAGCTCTGCCTAGCCACAGAACCTGAAGAATTGTGCATGCCTGTTGTTTCTGTTTTCTTTCTTCTGTAGTATGAAAATTTCTGCTCCCCCAAACAGCAGTTCTGGGGACTTGTTCCCAGATTCCAGGCAGCAACAAGCAGCCAACAGCTGAGCATGAAGCTCCAGCAAGCAGCAGCACCTCTGCAAGGTGGTGCTTGCACCAGGAGCACTCATCTGAATTTATTCCAGCTGCAGGGGGATCCCAACTTCTTACTAATAAGGGCAAAAAGGGTATTAGCTGTGCCAAGAGGTAACTGTGCCTCAACAGGAACCGACATCTTTGTTTGTGCAGAGCTTTCACTATAAATATTTTTCCTGCTACAGAAACAACACAAATCACATGCTTATCAGCTCCTTATGGTATCTCCTTCATTAATGCCTTCGCTGCCAAAAAAAAAAAGAAAAGCAAGGAAGATGGCAAATCCTCAAAGGTTTCAGAATTTTTGACATGACAAGATTAAATCTAGCAAACAAGAGACTGAATCCTTCAAATCAGCCTGCCTGAGCTTGCCATCGACAATTTTGATTCCTCAGCAGAAAAGGGAGATCTCTAGGTATGGATATCTTACAAAAACAGATTAAACCAGATTAGGAGAATTCTGAACTCTCAGTCTCTAACTCAAAGGTGGCATCACCTTGTGTCAGCTCCAATACAGCACCTGTATGCAGATACATGCAATACAGCTCTGTATGCAGAGCTCCTTCACCCCAACCTTCCCAGAGGATGCCACGTCCTCCATAGGGCCATGTCATCACTAGTGCCATTTCCTGCAGTTTCCCTGCAAGAAGGAGCATTGTGAAACTAATGACTGTTTAACTGTATCATCAGTACACTTCATGAATATAAAATTCTCTGAATTTAAATCCAACACGTAAAAGTTCGAGATTGTTACAGGAAATTAAATGCTGGGACCACTGAGTTTTGCAGTCTAACAAGTACAAGCTGCATGGGGCAACATCCAAATTTCCACACTGTGCAAGCACTGGGGAAAGGGAAAGTTCTTGCTGACTGTAATCCCATCTGAATAAGAGCTGAGAGAGGGAATGAAGATCACAGAGATTCTACTGCGAACAAAAAATACCGTGCAAGGCACACTGGTTACCCATAATCCAAAAAGATATCTGACTTCAATTTTGTGTTCAGTACTAATATTTGCAATTGAATAATGCTGTTCATTTCAGGGCCAAAGATTAAAAAAAAAAAAAAAAAAGAAATTAGTTATTTAGGACAAATCACTGTAGCACACCGAGGTGCACAAGCAGGCTCTCCTTAGCGTGTCACAGTTACTTGTAAGGACCATATTCCACAGCAAGGATTGAACGTTAGCAGCAGTGAGATGTTACAGCTCTCTTAAGTCTTTCAGGCTGCACTCAGCATATTAGCAGTACCTCTTCTTTGAAGCATAGTGCTGCCCTCCTGCCTGCCCCAACCCGCAGCTCCCATCGCTGCCATTGCAGCGGATGCGCGGTTGGGTGCCGTGGAAGTGGCACTGCTCTGCTGGTGGCCACGTGAGCAGCTCTGCCCATCGACCTTTGATCTGTATTTGCTAAACTTCACAACAAAACTTCAAGAAAAAAAAGAAGAAGAAGAAAAAAAAAAAAACGATTAGCTGCAAATTAGACATTCTCATGGAAGCCTAGAATTATTTTTCAGGACAGAGGGCTCAATTTCCCAATCTCAGGTGTATGATTAAAATCAATTAAATCACTCTTCCAATGTCAGCAGCAAGATTCTCCTGACAAATGAAATTATGCGAGAAAAGTATTCTCTTCACTCTTCCACCCTTTCTCAGCACCGCTCACATCCACAAATGAGATCAAAATTTTCAGCTCGGGGATTTCAGAGATATTTTCCATAAGAACATGAAAAATCCCAGGAACCCTATGTAAGTAGACTTTATAGTCTCTAGTGGCGAGATGCTGATGGCCTCTGTATGTTAGATATATTCATGACTAACTAAAATGAAAAGTTCGAGCGGAATTTAACCATTTGGGGACCACGCTAGCATTTTTTTCATGAATTAAAGTTTCAATGGTAGAATTATGTACCAGATTCTAGGATACACGTGGTAACCTTTCTCTGTCTCTTTTCATTCCCTAGGAAGTCCCTGGTGGTTTTATCCTATTGAAGACCTGAATGCTATCAATCCCTCTCAGCCACTTGCAGACAAGGGAGCAGCGGAGCAGGCTAGACTTCAAATGACCACATCATCTGCAGAGGCCCCAAAGGGTTAATAGTGACTTACTATTCCTTGAGACAAAACAAGGCGTTTGGTGGTTGTTTTTTTTTTTTTTTTTTTTTTTTTTTTTTTTTTTAACATAGTGAAATAAATCTTTTGATAAGAAACTCCACTTGAAACATAGAGATATCTCATTTGCAGAGGTGTTCTGACGTGGCTGAACTGTACCTTCAGCAAATTATTTACCTCTTAATTTGTTAAAACATATGGGCTTAGAGGTAACTTTGCCCATGAGGCGTACATCTATATTATATGCTTGTTTGGTTTGACTTCATTTTCCTTGGAGACCTGAACAAATGTTTTCCTCATTTCAGAAGTTTTTTTTTTTTCCCCTTCTCTCACATGTTCATGGCAGCAGTGTTACATATGTATTTTGTTTCTTTTGCCTGCATTGAAAAAGGAGCGTGCTCATTTGCAATTTTACAATGGCCAAAGTGGGGCAATGTTTCAGGATGAGGAAAGCTGCCTATTTCTACACCTGTGAGGGGCTCAGCCCGAATGGGCATTTGGTTCCTCTGCCAATCTCTATCAAAAACCGCTTCCCCACAGAGCACCCAGCGTGTTCCTGCTCACCATCTTGTTCTCCAGCACAAGAGGAAAGAGGAACCAACAAACTCCACGCAAAGTTCTTGTTGATCTTTTAGCGCTTCATCACAAAATCTCTTGCCAAACACTTCGAAGAGTATTTGTTCCACCACCAAGTTAAAAAAGCAAGCCCACCTGCAGAGAATTAGTGAGGTAATTGAAACAGCATCTTCCACAAAGATCAACAGAAAGAGGAGGAGCTCTTCAGTATCAACACCCATCATTCCTAATAAAGCCATGGATTTCCTGCAGCACAGCTCCGCCAGCATCAACTGCACATTTAGCTTTTCCATCTCTCAGGTCTGTCCTTGCTATCAAGACTCTGGGATTTTGTTCATATGGCCCTGTACCATGGACAATGCCTCCATGTGCAAAGCTCCAAAATAGCATTTATACAACTTTGCCTCCTTCTCTTATCTTCTTTTAATACAGTATGGAGAAATGGGAACAAAACATTATTTCTTTAAAGTGGCAGCATGATGATTAATGTTCTCAAGAGGAAAAAAAAAGCCAAGAAACCCCCCAGGGACAGGTTGGAAGCTAGAAGGCATCTTCTCCTTTTTGCTTTTGGGTTCAGTGTTCAGTTTTATTTTTTTATTTTCTGTGCATGAAATCAACACCTCAAAGTGCTTTTTGGTTTTCCATTTGTTTATTCCAGCCATAAATATTTTATCACTTAAAAAGAGAAGCAATGTTTGCTCCTAATTGTTTTTGATTAAATATGCTAATTACATTTTGGAATATTAATGACACATACGGTACTAAATGTTTTAATAATGCAATGAAATAAGCCAGCAAATATAACTACAAATTAACCTGAAATTGCTACATGGTTTTCATAATTTTGCATTATAACACCACAAATCTAGAGGAAAATATCCATGACAAACCAGTATTTCTTGTTTGCTATCTAGAGTTCAACTAAACAAAAAACTAAACCAAACAAAACCCATAAATGAACAGGATGCTACTTCACTTTGGGACCACTTTTCTTCACTGCAAGACAAGGACGGCAGAAATAAAACCCAGCTGAATATGAAAACTTCTCACCAGTGCACACTGACCATGGGATAGGTCTTAAAACGACTCCACATAAGTCTGAAGAAGTCCTTGAGCTCATCTGTGGTGAGCATAGTGATGGAAGCAGCTGCCATGCTCTGCAGTCACCCAAGTTACTATCAGACAGGAAACTTCAGAGCTTTACCACTGAGCATTACTGCTACATTTCTTTCCTAGCTTAGGATGGGTGGTTAATTCAATTTTTTTTTTTCCACTCTTGCTCTCTGCTCAGGGAAAGAGATTTTCTCTTTGTTTAGGGGATTCTGGATGGTAGACACCTCTGCTTTACAGCAGCACTCCAGAATGGAAATGCCTTTTCAATACAGGCTGCTAATGCATTCACAGACTGAAATCAAGCTCCCTACCTACGGCAGGCTCCCCAATTCCCAGGACAATCAAGCTGACACAATTAAATTCTTCCTCTTCTGTGACAGAACTATATGCAATGGTTAGTATTACATTACATTGAAAATAATTAATATTACGGAGGCTTTTTTGCATGTTTGTGTGTTAAAGACTTGACCTTTTAATTTGTTTTTCCCTCAGAAATATTCTGCAATCTAATGATTTATATAGATGATCCAAAGTTGCCAGGCAGTCTTTCCCAGCTCTCCAGAATAACTCTGATGATATTTTTCCACACTCAGTGTCAGAGAACTGCTTTGGCTTGCTGTGCTGGAGAAAGCATTCAAAGAGGCTTGTGTCTGCCAGGCCTGGTACAATAGGACAGTGGAATCAACATGCGCAATCAGTTGGTCTGATAAGCCACTAATTTATAAGCAATTGCTAGATAAATTATCAGCTACTTACACAAGAAGACTGGGGAGTGTCCAGAGGGCAAGACATGAGGAACAGCTGAGATCCCTTGGTTTGTTCAGCCCAGAGCAGAGGAGACTGAGGGGAGGATTCATGGCAGCCTATAGCTCATCATGGCAGCCCTATAGACTATCATAGCAGCCCTACAGCTCCTCACAGAGAGCACGGAATCAGGCTGTGCTGGGCACAGCCCCGAGCTGCCAAAGCTTGGGAATAATTGGGACACCATTCTCAGATGCTAGGTTTTGGTGGTGCTGTGTGAGTACGGGCACTGAACTCAATGGTCCTTGGGTCTCTTCCAGATCTGGATATTCTGTGATTCTACAGCCTATTTCTGAAGTTATAATAAAGCCAGCCCAAAATTGTTGCTTAGCTTTTTCTTCTAGATTTAACTTCTTAGGCTCAAGATTCCAGGAAAGCAAGCACTGTTTTAAAGCAGCTTGAATTTGACATTTGGGATCATCCTGCAGAGGAAATATTTTTGTTTTGATTAAAATCAATCTTGAAACACACAGAATCACACTGAATGGTCTGGGTTAGAAGTGACCTCAAGGATAATGAAGCTCCCCCTTCCCCCATCACAGGCAGGGCCACCTATCTCCACATTTCATACTAACCACACTGCTTAGCACCCCATCCAACCTGGCCTTGAACACCTCTATGCATTCATTTGAAGATGAGCAACAACCAAAACCTCATTTAGCCTTGAGCTTTGTGGGCTTCTGTCCTTCCAGATTTTAGCCTCATACTGACACTAGAGTGCCAAAATATTGAAAAATATATATATTAGTCCTTTCAGGTGCTCGTCAGGCAGGGAGGTCAGCTTCCTAGTGCCCCCAGTAACATACCAGGCTGCTGGGACATGTGGCAAGACTGACTGTGAGGGGACAGAAGAGTAAACAGAGGCAAAGGAGAAGCTGATTAAGAGTATCATCCGAACAGGAACTTTTGGAAACCTGAGATGTGCACGAAGAAAACCTCACACAGCAGACTTTAAGGCCACCGACTCATTAACCCCCTAGCCAAGGCCAAAAGCTAGCAAACAAAAAGGCGAAAAGCAGTCTGCTCACAGAGAGGAGCCCGAACGCAGCAAAGGACCGGGGCAGCAGACAGCTTCGTCCGACTGCTCTTTCAGTAGCGTTCGCTGCCCACCCGAGGGACAACTCGCCCCCCACACTCCATCAATCCACCCCGTGCTCCCCAGCCAACGCCACCTCTCAAGCAGGAGTGATGAATGAGCGCAGACAGTGAGCGGCTGTGTACATATCTGCGCGGCGGGGCTGAGAATATTCATCTCGTTTCACTTGTGACCTTTCTCTGTTCTGCAAACCTGAAAGGTCTGGGCTGCATAATCACATCTCGGGATAAAAGATAAGTGAACTACCAAATAAATAGTGGAGTGTTTACATGACCTTACGGTTTTACCGCCCATATTAATTTTTAATTGCACTGTTAAAATATAGTAAATATCTATTATACAAATTAAGTGGTAATAGGTATTTGTATTTTTTTTCCACGAATTAATCTTAAAATAAGCTGATTACACAAATCTTTAGCCAAGCAGTGGCTAATCCCAGGCACAAACATTACTTTGATAAGATACATTCAAACAAACATTTTTGTGGCAAAATGTTATCAGATACTAACACATAATTAGTCTAAGACATTTGGTTCAATGCGAGCATTTTCAAGTTGTAATCATTAAGTGAAGGTATTGGGAAAAATCCAAAAGGGAGCCCAGCATGGTAAGCACTTCAGAGTTCCTTTGTGGATTCCGATTAGGCTGCTGGATTCACTGCTGTTTCCTTATGTAAACAGATTCACATATTGCAATGGTGGGGAAATCTTTATCAAATTAATGGCAAACAAAGTGATGTTAATGTAGATGAAATTATTATTCACCCGGATCTGTATTGTGCTGAAAGAGAAATTTGGAAGGAAGACCTGAGTGCATGAAAGGAACAGAACTCCAGCTCCATTGTGAATATTGGAGTAAGTCCCTCATTTCTGCCACAACCAGAAAGGTAGGAGAGGGAAAGAAAAATAAGCTGACATGAGTGCATTAAAGCTAGGTGTTGATGCATGTGTTTAGTTCTCACTCAGCACCTCTTACATGAATTTATGTGACTTTTAATATTATCTGCTTTTCTTTCTTTGCAGAAATTTCCAATTTTTCAGCTATGCTAACAGTATTAAAACAAGAGTACTTGTAATAACATTGCTCTTATCCAATAGTCTGAAAGGACTATTGATTAATACATAATAAATAAAGGTTTTTTAAAATGCTTAATAGTGGCTTAATAGTGGAATCTAGTAAATACTTAATTAGAGAGGGTTATTGAACTCAGAGAGTGGCTATTTGACATTCTGGCATGCAGAGGAATAGCCCCTTAATTGACAGTAAACTCTATTGTACAGAAACCCACTTAAAGAATTTTTCGTAAGAGCTCGCAGTGCTGATGATGAAGCCACTTGCTCGATGCACTCACTATTGATGCAGCACACTAATAGCTCTACAAGGCAAATCCTGAGGAGTGCTGCACTCAGTACGACACAAAGCAACCTCCAGGA